TCCTCCTCCTTTCCGGGTGCTACACAACTAACAAGGGTTTATTTTCCAGCATGTTCTACATTTTGTAAAGAAGTTCTTTTAGCTAAATTAGTTGAATTTTGACAGGATGATGATAATTGTTACTATGTATATGTTCATTTATATATTTACAATATATAATATATGATTTGTTTTAGAAAGTAAAAATTTTACAAAATTATATATAAATTTAAGTCATTATATTCATATTAAATTAAAAAAACAAAAGAATAATTGAATTTATAACATAATAAATATGTATATTTTGTGTTTGATCTTCTAAATCAATACATAATCCTTTAAAGTTCTCACACTCTCTATTTTTATAGTATAATAACATAACAAAAAAATTTTACTAATAATTTGGGGATCATAAATATTTATTTATATTTTTAAATTTTTATTATTTTTAATTTAACCGATTATAAAATTAGAAATGATGTTTTTAATTTCAGCACATAAAAAAATTCGCGTTTCATTTGATGTATTAAAATTTAATATCTGTTTAATATTAATAGATTACTTTTAAATGTACCTAATCAAATTGATAATTATTTATGTACAATAAACCGACATATAAACTCATATACAATTGATTAAAATCTAATATATTATATTTTTATTTTATTTAAATATATATGTAAAATTCATTAATAAAATAAAGTAATATAATGTTTAATAATTTATTAAACTCATATATATATATACCTACCATATTTAACCATTCGGACCCACGAAACCCATCTTTACCAATTAAGGTAATATGCCATCTATTTGCTATTAATGCAGAAGATACATATACATATATAGTAGTAGTCTGTGGAGAAGGTGGTGGGCCCATCAGAAACAAATGCATTTATGCGAAGTTGCCATCAAATAAAAATTATTGGATTCAGTGGTTCGTGCCTTATGGGTCTATCATGGGGTCTCAATTTGGACCTCTTGGAGAATTTTGACTCGTATTGCTGTTAATGGGTTTTTGATGATCACCTGTGGGCCCCCACAGAATCAGACGTCAGTTAGTAGGCCCCAGAAAAAAAAGTCCACCCAACCAGCGGCCAAGATTGCCTACGTCATTTTTGCAATGATTGCGCATCTAGACGATCACGGAGTGACCGTTGGTGATTCTCGGCGGGCGGTTATATTACGACCACAACCTCGTGAGTGGATGATCATGCAAATAGGGCATGTTGGGACGTTGGGTTAACTCGACCCTATTAGGCCCAAAATAGTTAGAAGGCAGTGTTTGGATACATGAATAGTATAAGATTGGACGGAATAATATAGCCTAGTTTTCTGTTTGGTTGCAAAATAGTACTAAAAAATTTTAAAAATTTTCAACTGCAATAGTTAAAATTGATTTGTAATTTTGACCCTTTTTTTTTTTCTTTCTCCCATTTGACTGATTAAATATAATTTAATTAATTAAATACAAATTTAAATTAATAATTACTTGAAGGTACATAAAAAATTAAATACATTTTTTTTATTATTTTTAAAATTTAATTTATTTTTTTTTCTTGATTGGTCCTGAGACATAAGAATTAAGAATTCTGATTCCCCCAGTGGAGAAGACAATAGTTGACCTCCATAGACACATCAATATCCTTAAAAATATAAATAATACAATATAATATAGTTTTAAAAATATGGATTATTTTCTTCTCATTTTTTAATTTTCAAAAATAGTATTTTTATTAATTATAAATATTATAGAATAAAAAATAGTATTAAAGAGATTTATAAAAATGTTATTTTCTAAATTGTCTAAACTTATAAATTTTTAGTTATTCACAAAGGGGAATCTGAAAATTTTGTAAATATAATAACTTACTGATATTTAGAAAATTTTTAATTTCAGTTATTATCTAAAAATTAGTATAACAAATGGATATATGTAAAGGAGTAAAAAAAAAATTGGAAAAGGAAAATAATTAAATTAAGGGAAAACAAGTAAGAAATACGTACGTACATACATACATACATATATATATATATATGTATGTATATATGTGTCATGTTAAGCACATATGCCTAAAAACAACAAGGCATTTATAATGTGGGATTCACATGTGGATTCCAATTCTGGTCTTTAAAACTGATTCTCCACTATTTTAAATTCTGTCTCTTCACCCTTAGAAAAAAAGTACATACCATATTATTAATAATCTTCAAATTTCATCCATATATTATACTTATTCCCTATATTTATAATTTTCTTTCAAACATTATTTATATATACAAATTATTATAAAAAAAAATCACACTTCTTTACTAATTAAACTAACTCATATATACATACATACATACATACATACATACATATATATATAAGATTATTATTATATTATTTCATTCCAAGTGCATGATATCTTCCTCTGTCCCACCTTTTTTTTGCCTACTTAAACCCCCCCCCTCTCCTCCCTCCTCTTCTTCCCATATTACCCATTACCGAATATTTCTCCCTCCTCCTCATTATTATTAAGATATTAATTATTCTCCATTAATCTCTCTCCCCCTCAAGCTCAACATTCTGTGAGTTTCCTTCTTCTTCTTCTTCTTTTTATTTCCTCTTTGCTACCTCTCTCTACTTCTTTCCTCCACCAAACACACACACACTCATGTATATGTATATATGTATGTATAGCTAGCACGTTTATCTTTTCCGAAGCCTGCAGCTTTTTGAAACTTAAAGACAGATACCCACGTGAAAAATCCCACTTTAAAGACGAAACGTAAATCATTTCTTATTACGATGATGATCTGGGTTTTGACCAACTTTTTTTGCAGACAACAATGGCGAGCGCTGGGGAGATGAAGAAGTACCGGAAAAGCTACTTTGACGTTCTGGGACTGTGCTGTCCGTCGGAGGTTCCTATGATAGAAAACATTCTTAATTCTCTCGACGGCGTCAAGGAGTTTTCCGTCATCGTCCCCACAAGAACTGTCATTGTCGTCCATGACAACCTCCTCCTTTCTCAGCATCAAATTGGTAAAATTTTACATTTTCATCTACAAAATCATTTCTTCTATTTTCTAAATTTCTTCTTGTTTTGGTAACTAATTAATTCAGTGTTCATAACTTATAATCTCCCTTTTCCTTTTTTTATTAAAGTAATTTTCACTTGATATTTTGGAAACATATATATAACTGAAGTATTGACTGTTGATATGGATAGACTATTTGAGAATAATAATTTATTAGAAATTGGAGGAATAAGGAAAGACTAATAGAAAGATTCAAAATTTTAATTTATGGTAGTTCATGTAAATTTTTTAATATATATATATATATAGTAATATAATTATTAAAATTTCAAATACATTAATCATAATTAATTTTAATACATAAACAACTTATAAAAAATTTAAAAGATATATTTGTCATCATATTCATAACTTACTTTTAATTTAATTTCTTGCTAAAATATAAAGTATAAACATGTTGAAATTTGTAAATTGCATTTTTTTTTTATAGAAGGGTGAGAATAATAATTAGGCTAGAGTCACTTAACTTTATAACAAGAATTAAATGTCTTTTTCATCATAATTTATACGTAAAATCTATAAATTAAATAAAAATATAAATTTATGCATATATATATATATATATTTCTACCTCTAACATGAAAATAGAAGGAGATATATATGTGTGTGGGCGGGATGAAAATTGACAATGACATAGTTTTTGTTTCCTAAAATGTTGCTAAATTCTACAATCCCAAATCAGGAAACAAAATGGGAGGTGGTAGATTTTGCATTAAATTCATAATCCCTTGTGAAAAACATATTCTCTGGTTGGAGTTGGAGTTGGAGTTGGAGTTGGAGTTGGAGAAAGAGTAAAGCTAACACTAATTAGTAGTCAAGGGATGACGTGTTAGGGTCATCTGATAAGGGCATTATAATAAATTACTGATTAGTGAATTGGAAAACCAATCACTTTAATTAATTAAAACTTTAAACTTATTTATTTTTAATTAATCGTGCTAATTAATAATGTATTTAACTATTATATTTTTCTATAATTATTGCACATCTGCAGGTTATTTTGACTTATCTGTGAAAGTTATATACTTTATTAAAAATTATTGTCACTCAATTCATAACTTTTTTAATACTATTAATTTTAATGAATTTTTTGAATTATTCTTTTAATTTTTTATTTTTTATAGAAATTTTTCACTTAAAATAATTCCCATTTTCCAATTACTTAATTTATTAGTTCTCATTTGAGCCAAGAAACTATGTAATTTCTTGAATTAATAAGTTGGAATAACTGGGGGGCAGTTAAGGCACTGAATCAAGGAGGGCTGGAAGCTAATGCAATAGCGTATGGAGAGACAAAATACAAGAAGAAATGGCCAAGTCCGTACGCCGTGGCGTCTGGTTTACTTCTCTGCCTCTCATTTCTCAGATACGTGTATTCGCCGCTCCGGTGGCTGGCCGTGGCCGCCGTCGCCGCCGGGGGCGTACCGATCCTCCTCAAAGCCTTGGCTTCTATAAGAAACTTGAGGATTGATATCAACATCCTTGCCATCATTGCAGGTAATTCCTTTTTGTATTATTTCTTAATATTAAAATACGTAGATAATTATTTAGTTTTATTTACTTATTTTAAAGGTAGATTAACTTATAATTTAATATTTAAATTATGATCCAATTTGAGTTAAAACAAACATTCTACACAGTCTATTTTTTTGGATATAAGTCAAATCAAATATTCTAAAATAACCCAATTGAAAATTACAAATTATAATTCACATGTAATTTTAGATATGTTACAATCAAAATTTTAATTTATAATAGTAAATATCATTTTATCATATACTCGTTATTTATTTAAAATTTATATATTAAATAAAAATATACATAATTTTTTTTTTAACTATATTTTCCATAACAAAAAGGTCTTATTGATTTTTCTTTATGGTAGTGAGCATATAACTTTTGTTGATTTGGCTTCTTCCCACTTTTTTGGTACATTTCTATTTTTATGTTATTGCTTCCTTCTACAATTTTTCAATTTCATTTTCTCATTTTTTTTTGGTTAGTCTTGCTTGTTGGATTCATGGGATTTTTCTCTTTTTATGCTAAAAAAATTAATTAAAAAATTAAATTAAATTTTTACCTAAAATTATTTTTTTTTTGAAAAAATTAACATATGAAAACAAAGAGTATTTTTACTTTAATTCCTTAAAATTAAATTTGAAACCTACCCATAGATTAGTAATTATTGAGATATATATATATATATATATATATATACACTTAGACACATAGAAAAAGTAAAAGTAATGGGAATATAACGATAAGATAAGATTAAAAAGAAAAGGGACAATTATGTTAAAGAAATTAAACTTCTTTTTAGGTTGTCCCTCGTACAATGAATCCCATTAAAGAACTGTAAATCTATAAGGAATTTATTCTTAAAAAAACTATGAAGTAATAATTTCGATTTTTTCACATAGACCCTTTTGTTAATTACCCATTATGTATATATATATATATATACATATTGCTAAGTTGAAAAACTATCCATGTTATTGGACATAATGTTAAGGTTCAAATAACCAATTGTTATAAAATAAATCAATATAATGATAATCTTATACTTGAGATAAGAGTAAAATTTAAATGTCAATCATAAATTAAAATTTGAATAATTGTTAAATTAAAATCCGTTGATTCAGCCGATAATAAGTTTTATATACTCTTTTTAGTAAAATGTATTACAGATTTATATAGGGTGTAAAAGGTAGAAGAATTAATTATTTTCGTTCTTATTATTGATATTTGATAATCACTTTTCTGATGTATTAACCCTTCAATTTTATACTGATTTTCTAAACAGGGATAGGTACAATATACATGAAGGATTATACAGAAGCTGCTACCATTGTTTTTCTACTTAACATTTCAGAATGGCTTGAATCCAGAGCAAGCCATAAGGTTTTCCCCTCTTTAACTCCTTTTTTCCTTTAAATTGTCTTAATAGAGTTGATAGTTCAATTCAATTATATCATGGCGTTAGGGTAAAAATAAATTCGAACATATTTGAATTTCATCCAGTAGACTTTTGTGTTTAGAAAACGTTATATTATACTTTTTTGTCGTAAGTTTTTGATTAAATATTCAAAATCGATGTTTATTATACTAAGATAGATTGCTTCGCTATCCGCTAGATTTATATACACAAATTTTTTATATAAATATTTTAAAATATAATTTCTCAGGCAAATGCAGCCATGTCTTCCTTGATGAACTTAGCCCCTCAAAAGGCGATAATAGCTGAAACTGGAGAAGAGGTGGACACCGATGAGGTCAAGTTAAACACCATTTTAGCAGTCAAGACTGGTGAAGTTGTACCTATTGATGGAATTGTTGTTGATGGAAATGCTGAAGTTGATGAAAAAACTTTAACTGGAGAATCTTTCCCAGTCCCCAAACAAAAGGATTCTACTGTCTGGGCAGGCACCATTAACCTAAATGGTATTTTGACTAGGGCTTCTCCCTTTAATCATTTCTTCTCATTGTTCATACATATATATATATATATATATATAAAAGCTTGTTTTTAATAGCTTTTAATCTCTTTTTCTACTCTTTAAAGGTTACATAAGCGTAAAAACTACTGCATTAGCAGAAGATTGTGTCGTGGCCAAGATGACAAAACTAGTTGAAGAAGCACAGAACAGCAAATCAAGAACACAAAGATTCATAGACAGATGTTCCCGGTACTACACCCCAGGTAATCGGAACTCTTTTTATCTTCCATTTTCATAATTCTATAGAAATATTTTTGTAGTTTGGTTAATTTCAGTCACTTAATAGGAATAATGAACCCAAATTTACTACGAAATTTGTATCTCTCTTTTAAAGTCAAGATTCGAAATAATGAACATATATATTATATATCATTGCAGGAATTCTCATTATATCAGCCAGCCTTGCAGTGATTCCAGCTGTGTTAAGAGTTCATGATATGAAATATTGGATTCATTTGGCATTGGTTGTTTTAGTAAGCGCTTGTCCTTGCGCGTTAATCCTTTCGACTCCTGTTGTGACTTTCTGTGCACTTACAAGGGCTGCAAGTTCAGGACTTTTAATCAAAGGGGGAGATTATCTTGAAGTTCTTGCCAAAATTAAGGTCACTGCTTTTGACAAAACAGGCACAATAACAAAGGGTGAATTTACTGTCATGGATTTTCAATCTCTTACTCGAGATATAAGCCTGAACACCTTGTTGTATTGGTAAGTCTTCTAATGTTGAATAACTTCTTGAACTCTTTTAAATTTCAAGAGAATATGAGTGATTATTAAGGTTTATACAAATGCAAATAGTTGGCTAACTCTATAAATATAATTTATTCGTTCTCAAAAGATTAAGTACCAAAAGGAAATTGAATTAATTATATTTACACTTCTAGAAAACCTGGTAATTTTAGTAATTTTGTTTTATTGAGGATTAATACTAGTAATTACCGAAACATTGAAGGGTTTCAAGCATCGAAAGCAAGTCAAGTCATCCGATGGCGAAAGCACTAGTTGATTATGGAATGTCTCAATTAGTTACGCCAAATCCTGAAAGTGTGGAGGATTACCAAAACTTTCCTGGAGAAGGTATTCATGGCAAAATTGATGGGAAAGATATTTATATTGGAAACAGGAAGATTGGTGTTAGAGCTGGATGTAGCTCAGGTAAAAATTATATGTTTTTCAGAGACATCTACATTAGTTTCTTGTATATATATATATATATATTTATCCCATAACCATTTATATGTTTTTAAATCTATAGTTCCAGTAACTGAAGGTGATACAAAAGGAGGAAAGACAATTGGGTATATCTACTGTAACAGTAGCTTGGTAGGAATTTTCAGTCTCTCTGATACTTGTAGAACTGGAGTTGTAGAGGCGATTAAGCATCTAAAGCTGTTAGGAATAAAATCTGTAATGCTTACAGGAGATAGTCAAGCAGCTGCAATGCATGCCCAAGAACAGGTTTCTTTTCTTCATCCCATCTTGTTTATAGGCATATTCAAGTATGTAGATATATATATATATATATAGATAGATAGAAAGAACTTAATCTTGCATGATTGTTGCAGCTAGGAAATGCCTTAGAGATTGTCCATTCAGACCTTTTACCCGAAGACAAGGCGAGAATCATCAATGAATTGAAGAAGGAATTAGGAGCAACAGCCATGATTGGTGATGGTGTGAATGATGCACCAGCATTAGCTACAGCTGATATCGGTATATCCATGGGCATATCAGGCTCTGCGCTTGCAACACAGACAGGTCACATAATTTTAATGTCGAATGACATTAGAAAGATACCGAAAGCTATTCGATTAGTGAGAAAAGCTCGCAGGAAAGTGATTGAAAATGTCATTTTGTCGATCATTACTAAAGCAGGTATTATTGCATTGGCTTTTGCTGGTCATCCCCTTGTTTGGGCAGCAGTTGTTGCCGATGTTGGCACATGTCTACTAGTCATTCTTAATAGTATGTTAATCCTCCGAACACCCGCCAAAAACCCTAAATCTTCATCTCATACCAATCATAATTGTTGTTCTTCCAAAAATTTACAAAACCATTCTCACTCTCATAAAACCTGCAATTCAAAGTCCCAACCCAAATCTTGCCCTACAAAATCTTCTAATCATCATGGCCATAACCATGGAACTTGCAACAATCATGATGATCATCATGGCCATAACCATGGAATTTGCAACAATCATGATGATTATCATGGCCGTAACCATAGAACTTGCAACAATCAGGATGATCATCATGGCCATAACCCTGGAACTTGCAACAATCAGGATGATCATCAGGGCCATAGCCGTAGAACTTGCAATAATCATGATGATCATCATGGCCATAACCATGGAACTTGCAACAATCAGGATGATCATCAGGGCCATAGCCGTAGAACTTGCAATAATCATGATGATCATCATGGCCATAACCATGGAACTTGCAACAATCATGAAACTCATGAACATAAGCATGGATGTTCAGGTACTCATCATCATCTCACCTCCTGCAAACAAGATAATGCTTCTACCCACGATCATAATCATGTTGGGTTACATCATTTAGAAGAAGGAACAAGTTTGAACAACAACAATGGTTTATGCAAACACAAACATTGTGACCATAACATCAATCAAGTATCAGATCATGAAAAGCTTCATTCCATGGCAGCCATAAAACAAATATGTTGTGCTCAGAACGATCATGATCAATGCCCAGAAGAAAAATCTGATCATGTTCATTCCCATGATCATGTAGTGATGTGTGATTATGATCCAGCAGGGATGGCGCATGGAGGTAGCCATGGATGTGTGAGGTTGGAGAGGAGAGAGTATGGTGGGTGTTGCAGGAGTTATTTGAAGGAATGTTGTAATAACCATGGACATTTTGGAGTTGGGATGGGAGGGTTAACAGAGATTGTCACTGAATAGTGAATAGCTTTGTTTAAAAAACTATGTATTAAAAAAATTATCTTACTTTATTAATTAAACAAGGCCAATGTCCAACATGAATTATTAAAAAGAAAAAGAAAGAAAGATGATATTTGTAGTATAGATTATCAATAAAAATAACTTTATAGACTATGTTAATTAATTCTCAATATTCCATTATCAATCAATGATCTTGAAAATTTTCCTTTAAACAATTTTTAATTCATTAATATGTATATATACATATATTGAAATAAATGGGTTTTCAATATATATATATATTAAAAATTCATCTATTATAAATTTGATGCCCAAATATTCTTGATTTAATAGAACTTATTATTATTCTTCCAATTAGAAGAAGTTCTCAGACAACTTATCAAATAGCCTTTGGTGGCATGAAGAGCCATGAATGATCCACCTTTTTTCTCTCTCAATTAATTTGATTTTCACTTGTATTAATAACAAAGAGTAGTGGGTTCCAACTATTTTTTTTTTCTTTTAAAAAATATATTTTTTCCAATTAAAAATATCCACAACTAATCTAAAAATTAATTAAGTTTATATATATATATATATATATATTTTCTAACTAAAACGATTTAATTTGATATATAAAACATTTTAGAGTTATGATTAATTGTATGAACATAAAAATTATTGATTAAAATAACATAATATATTTACAACAACATATAATTTCTTGAAGATTTAATTTTCTGTATATGTGTCTTTATATATATATATATATATATAGAGAGAGAGAGAGAGAGAGAGAGAGAGAGATTTATTTGACTAAAAATTTTTACATTTCAATAATTAATTCATAATTATACACTAATGACAATAACTTTTAAATAAAAATACATATAATACTCACAATTTAAATAAAAATTTACAATTTTGGAAAAAAATTAAAATAAAAACAAAGATCTGTGTACACGTGTGTATGCATATATATATATATATATAGGAAAGACCAGATTCTATTCTCATTTCAACTCAATCGGCATTTGTCTTTTTCAACTTCTGATAAGGTGGCGCCATGTCTTAATCGTGTGTGTTGACCCACAAACATATGGAATTTAACCATAAAAGGAAGTTTAATTATCACTATTTTTAATTAATTTTTCTAATTATTTTTAGAATAATTTATTCTAATAAATAATTTTAATTAGGTATATCCTTCCACACCATTCAAACGCGTTGAGAATTTCTTTTGAAATATATATTACATTCAAAAATATATGCAACATATTTTATATATAAAGAAAGAGCATATATAACTTTTATCAATGGGACTAATTTTATAATATTTCAAAAATAATAATATTTTTTGGGCATAGCAAATTGTATAGACACAAATATTAAAATTGAAATTACAAATTAATATATCAGCTAACTTATGCATATAATTAAAGAAAAAAAGTGATTAATTTGGTCAAAGTGAGAACATCTCACCCATTATATTATTTATATATATATATATATATATCCTCCACCGACTTATGGTCTCTCTATATCTCTCTCTCTCTATATATATATATATAAGCAATCGCTCATAAGAATTCCCACACCACAATGTAGTGGAGAGAGTTTGAGTTGTGAAATTTGGTGGTAGAGTTTTTGCACGAAGAGGTAGAGAAATATTAGATGCAGCCAAGGATGACTTGCCGGCCGCCGGCATTGGCTTTTACCAGCCGGAAAATAAAAAGCTTCCAAATAATCGCCGGCCGGCAGGTTGTCCTTGGCTACATGTCTTTCTCTTCTTCTCATGTCAAACTTCTATCCACCTGCACATTTTTTACAGACATATATGTATACACACACACCATATCCTCAAAAGGTATATGATATCACGGTACGAAAACCAGTACATGTATATTCTGAAAACATGTGATGCCCAGATACAAAATCAGTTCATATATATATATATATGTATGACATATATGTATATGCATACATATGTATATATATATATATATGATCGTCATACATGGCGTACAAGTTTGTTAAGCTTCATGACTCATGATCAGCTTTGTTATTATCGGTAATTGCTTAATTAATTAGTTATTTCTTGTCAACATATATCTTTTGCATAACACACGCACGCACACACACACACACATATATATATATATATATATGTTAGTACAGTTATTAAAAGCAAGAATTTATGGATAATATTATATTAATTTAAGAGAAATATTAATTAATCGAAATGTTATTGATAAAAATAATAATACATTTCAATACGTAATGACGAGTTATATTATTTATTTTTCTTTGTCAAATAGATTTGAGTCTAACTATTAATTTCTATCATATATATATACACACACACACACACACACATATATTTCAGATTTATTTATTATTATTAATATATTTAATCTCATTTTCACATGAGATTTAATATATTATATATTATTGTCTTTCCAATTCCAACAATATCTAATTTTTAAAACTATTCCAGTTTTAGAGAATTGAAATCTATTATTTTCACAAGAAAAAGGTAAAAAATTGTATACTGTTTAATTTATTTCCTCTTATATCTTTATTTTTTACCAGATAAATGAAATATTCTTTTCCACCTACCATTTTTCCTTTTCTATTAATGATTTAATTTTTTTCTATTGCTAATTATATATAATGATTTATTATTAAATTAATCATTTCAATTTTTATTAGATTATTAATAAAAAAAAGTACCACATACAATGTATTTTCTTTTAAAAAATAAATTTGATCTATATTCTTAATTCATATACTAAAAAATTATAAATTAAAAAGGAAAATTCTACGAGGGAAGTCGAGGCAACGGTCGATCATTACACGGTCAATTTTTCAAAAGGACTGTAAAAGGAAAAGGGAAAGCCAATCTCCATAGCCATAGGTCGAAGCATTAATAGCTCTCAACTCTCTTCCATTACAGCTTCCGATAACAGAGTCTTCTTTCTTTCTCTTTCTCTCTCTATCGTTCTGGTCTGGTTTGATTTCGTTATAATGGTGGCCTCAAAGAAGCTGTTGCTTTTCTGGATACTATCAGCACTTATCGTCACCCCAATTACGTCAAACCTTGAAGAAGACAACGACTCTTCTGTCAGGACTAAACTCGACCAACTCAGGTCCAAAATTGCTTCTCTAGGTGATTTCCCCACTTCAAATCCCTCTTTCTTAATTTTCAGTAACGTGTATATAGGTTTATATATGGTTATAGTATGTATCTGTAATGAAATTCAGGATTTTGATACGGTATGCTCATCTTTCACAAATTACATTGTCGAAATTTGAGATTCTTACCCTCTTTTTTCCAAGTATAGACATGAAGAAATTGAGCGATTACCCGAGTATTGAGCGCTGTTTCAACTGATTTCTGTATTGGACTAAGTAATGTATTTGGTTTGCTTTCCATGTTTCCTCTGTTGCTTGTTTGGTTGCTGAAAAATACTACTGTCTTAGCTTATCTCCTGCTAGTTATTTGCTTCCATGTATGATTCAAGTGTTTGAATTTCAATTTTATCTTATTTTATTTTTCATTTTGTCTCTGGTCTTGTTAAGAATCGAGCATCAAGGAGAGAACCAATGAATTGAGAAGCAAGAACGAACGGATCATAATGATGGAGATGATCATTCAAGAGCAATTAGATAACATTTCATTATTACAGAATGACATAGATTCTCCAGATGTAAGAATCTTTTTGGAGTTTTCATTAATGCTCTCGAATTCCGTGGTTTTAATGCGACTGGCAAAATGCTCGATCAAGGGTCTGATTTATTTAGTTGCATTCGATTAAGGAGATAATCGTATTTACTGATGCTCAATCAACAGTAATTAATTATGCATTATTTATCTTCCTAGTCTACAGGATCTTTTATTGGCAAAAAGCACAAGGGTAAGGCAGATGAACAGTTAAATGAACTTGACAAGCAGGTTAGGAACATAACAGGTGTATTTTCTAGTTATCTCTTTTGGAAGTTTCACATTTATTAGATGTTATTCACTTCTTTCTACAGGTTGAGAAACTTAGGAAGCAAATAGAATTGCAGAATAAGAAAAATGATGCACTGGAAGTCCGAGCAAGTATAGCCGAGAAAAATATATGGGAACTTAACTCAAGACTGGAAGACGTAAGTAGTTAATTCATCTGTTTCTTTCCCCCGAGATTTTCATTTGACAAAGTCAATTTTTTCTCTTTTATGTTAATTATGTTTGTTTCTCTAGTATTAAAATGTTTTGGTATTGTTATATATGCATAAGGTTTACTCTAACTTCTTCCTTGCTATTGCCACTGTTAGCTTTTGAAGGTGGATTATGAACAGAAGACTCGACTTCATAAAGCTGAACGAGATCTTAAAGTGACGAAGGTCTGTTATCAGTTCATAATCTGTCAATGCCTGCTCTGTCATAGACAAGGTCTAATGTTGTGGTTCTTTAGGAAGAAATGTTGAAGGCGAAATCAGAAGCAGCTTCAATGTTTAAGAAGTTAACAGAGGCGAGTATGCTGATTTTTTTTGTCCCTCTTTAATATTTTATGTAAATTTCATGTGATGGCTGTGTGTGTGTGTATATATATATATATCTAGCAATGTGAATCAAAGCAGCATTTCATGACATAAATGCAGGTTAAGCGGGAATTAAATCCACATTGGCTTGTACTTCATTTTTGTAAAATTAAGGTATATTAGTTGGTTTATCGGCATATTTGGTTGAGCATGGCTAGTTGCTCTTTCCTGTGACTAATTATTTGTGAGATGCAGTCCTATATGCTGATTCAGTGGAATAAATACTTGCAACCAGCTTTGGATTTCACAATTGAGAAGGTTAGTTTTTCCACCATGATTGAGATTAGAGCTTTTGATTTTCAACGATAATTATGTCTTATTTTTAGTTTCCAAGGAAATCTTTGCCTTTTTTCTTTTTCTCAGGCACTGGAAAAGAAAGTTCAACTTGAGAAGTGGTTGGATTTACATATAAGAACTATTAATACAGTAAGCTATTCTGATCATTTCTTAATCCATTATAAATAATGTTTATGAATTGTCTTTGGATGCTCCCTCTAGAGTTTCATTTCTGAGACATTGTTGTATTTGATTTCACTTATCAAGATTTCTTGGCTAAATTTGAAGTGAAATTGATGTGGCCCTTTGGTTTTGACCAAAGTAATTTTCTGTAATAATTCCAAATCCATTATCTCAGCAGAGTAGGTCAAGCTGCCTAAACCGTGCAAGTTCTTTATCTTTCACCTTATGGATTTAACTTGCTTACTAATTTTTCTACATCATAGAACAATTTGAGACATTTGTACAATCACAATTCATAAATTTGTATGATTATATCCGTGATGATGTTTTCCAAATGATGATAAACTTGCAATGTTCTTTGCAATGTTGTTTTTCATAAAGACAGATATTTGCTGATTATCTTCTTTTTTTATCTATAGAAATGTATCCCAATGATGAAAGAGAAATGGTTGGCATTTACTACCCATCTGCAACCACAACTTTGTTCACTAACTTGTAAGACCATCAAGGTCTGCCATTCATCGGTCGAACATGTTCTGAGGATATTAGAGTTGGTGCAACCACAACTTCAATCTCTTCCCTCGAAGACTATCAAGGTCTGTCATTCATCAATTGATTGCATTCTAAAGACATTAGAGTTGGTGCAACCGCAGCTTCGATCACTAATGTCTAAAAGCACCAACGCCTACCATTCATCAATGGATCATGTTCTCAAGACATTGGATTCGGTGGAGCCTTACATTCAGGTAAATCTATATTTAGTTTGATTGTCTTTTTGGTTGATGATCATTGTTCTTGAATGCTTGCCAACTCTGGAATTTCTCATTTCTGTCTGACAGGGATTTGGCAGGTTTGTTGAGCCATTCATGAATCGGGTTGCCATTGTCATAAGGTTTCATTCCAATAAAGCTTATGTTATGTTGATGGAATCTGCAAATATATATCATCAGCGGGTATGAACATCCTATTTTCTTCTTTCTTTTTAGATTTAACAATGATAAGTGCAATGCTTTTCCAGTTTTTAAACGGAGAATAAATTGATAAATCATAATAGTCTGCTTATAAACATGTAGCTAGACTGGAACTTTCTAACAAACTGCTTGCAATTCTCTAAGGTTCAACAAGTGCTGAAAAACAACAAGTTAACGAGATCAATTGCGAGTGTAGAGTTAGCCTGGTTTCTGGTAGGTACTTCCTAAAAGTTTTAGTTCGCCTCATCCTTAATATTATATTTCAAAGATATCGTGCTAATGTAGCAACATGATGATAATGACTTCATTGTTGTTAGAATCATAAGATTTTACAATATTTAATTCAATATCAAAATAATTCAATTATATTGACGGAACTACATTTTATTAAAAATCAAATCTTGATTCAGTAACTGTATATCTAAAATTGCTCAAAAAACGTAGAGCATGTTTAATTGTTCCTTTATTGAATTGTTGTAGGCCTCAGCTCTGTTGGTCCTCCCGATGGTAGTTTTCTTCAAATTTTACTTTGCAATAACAAGGTTAGTTTCTGTTTATGCCTTGTTATGAGAACTTAATCCTTCCTATCTTGTGATGATTGGCAGATGATATTTTTCTTAACTTGTGCAGTAAAAGCGTAAAAAAGGGTAATCGAAATTCTCATAGGACCCATCCGTATAATAGGATCCGGAGACGTCATCATGTAAAGAAATGTTCATAAGGTAATGTAAATCTCAGAATTTACAGCTTAAACTTCATGTGGATATATCGATGCTATTGCATTTATAATGTAAAGAGGCTTAAGCCAATGCATAGATTCTGGTTGCGAATAGAGAACAAGAGCTGATGCATAAACCCTGATCGATAATGCTTAGGGTATATTTGGAGCAAACTTTAGAGTTCGTTGAATTCAAATAAAATAAATTATATCAGAAGATGATAAAATTGATGAAATTATTCCGACATTAAGTATTACATGAGCTTAATTTTTATTGTTTTAGAAAAAAACTATTATCATTTTTAGTAGAATTAATTGTGTTTACAAATAAATTTCACCGGTATCTAATCTTATGCAGGTTAATATTATTATTATTATTTTTTTTGTGGAGAAGGATGCCTTAGTTCATCACATATATAGATATAAGTGAGGACTTACTAGAGATCTGAATAGCTTCCATGCTTAATCAAAAAAGAACTTGCCAATTTAGTAAATCTTTTACATATTAAAATGTTAATCAGATCATCTCATGCAAATCTTCATTAATTCACAATTACTCCATAATTTCAGAATTAACAAGTGTTGAACTTTAAACTCCGTAACTATTTAACATGGATACTGGCATTGACAGAGTTTAATTGTACCAATCTCGTTGCATAAACCTCGTCCCTGATAATGCTTTTCGCTACATTTTCTATTGCAACAATCCTCTTCGCAGGCCACAGTACAATAGCCAAGGCCATCATTGCAGGTCTCAGGTGGCGGTGGCTGCAAATTACAGCTGTAGTAGCAGGTGCATAGTGGCACCTTCAGTGTATAATCGCATGATCCTTGAGTCTCGACGCCAATGTGTCTAGCCAGACACCTTGACTCGCAGTCGTTGCCGCAATATCCTAACGGCTCGGAACATATATCCGCATCGCCGGAAATATTCTTCAAACTTCCTGCTACAGTTATACATATATTAAAACCTATTATTATAAAGTATACATATGTTGAAACTAACTACAGTTCATGCAGATTCAAATTAGTAGTAAAAGAAATATAACCCTTTTTTTTTTTTTTTTTTTTTATAAATTTCGAAAAAGAAACTGTTTGTAAATAGATTTTGTGTGAGGATTAAATAAGAATTTTAGACATCCTTAATCAAAATTCTACTCATGCTAAAATGAGGATGAGAAATACCAATCAGTATGATGCATTATCATGCTTATATAAATTTGGATTTGAAATGTAATATGTATATACAAGTAAGTATAAACGGAGGATATTCAAACATGTTCATGTATATGCATGTTTATATATGTGGGTATGTTATATATACACATACCTAAGAATACAAACGCCAGGAGGAAGGATTGAAATGCTGGATTAAGCAGCTTAGCCATTACAATGGTTAGGAAAATTATTTGTGCAATTGATTTTTTGATTAATTGTACATTTATTTATAGATGATAGATTAATACGAAGCAATTAAGGTAATTAATTGTGTTTTTCTTTTGTTTTTTTAGTAGATAACGGATTTCGTTTTTGTTGATTGAACTAATTAATTATTGAAAGAGACCAAAACCGGAAATACATGTGACTAATATAATATATAATTAAGAAGAAATATAATCAAGGAGTAACGGTTAATAATGAAGATAGACAGAATCGTGTAGTGGAAATTTATGGCGGGGTAATTAACATGATATCAATTAATAATAAATTATTCGTATTAATTACAATTAACAATTAAAATCTTATTAGTAATATTTAGGGTTAGTTAAAAAATTTTTGGACTTATATCTATTAATTCGAAAAAAAATTGATTATTAGTTTCTATATTTTGAATAAAAATAGTAATTTAATTTAGTAAAATATCAAAATCAGAAATTCAATTTAGTAAAATAAAAAAATTAATTTAAGTGTTTGGTTAAAATATATTCTTTTTCTTTTTGAGAGACAAGTCTATTTTATTTTAATTCAACTCTTATATTTTATTTTTTTAACATTTATAAATTACTTCGAAATTTATATATTTTGTAAAGACCCGAAACTTAAAAGGAAATAAAGTTATAAATTAAATGCGTAAGCGAAATAATAGAGTTTAGGATTTACATTTTTTACATAATAATTTAAAATGTCCAATAAGAATAGGATTACGGGAATGTCCATTTTAAAAGAACAAAAAAAATTTAAAGAAATAAACAAAAAACAAATAACTGAGCATTCTAGGACAACCTTCACTAGTTTTTGAAGGGAGTCCGGGTGGTGAACTATTCACAACCCTCTTGTTGATCGGGATATGGATATTGGTAATCTTGATCTGAAATAGTTAATGAAAGGGTAAACTACACTAGTACAGTAAGAATATCACATTACTCACCGATACAGAAACTGAAGGTTGGTAAAAATTATAAAAACAACAAATGGAGCTTGATTTAAGTAAATTCATTTATCATAAGGAAAATAATTTATTGTATATATTCACTGTTGCGAGATTTCTAAAATCGATCTACAGAGATGATAATTCCAATAACATTCTAATATCATATTCAAGTGAGTAAGAACAACAACTTTCCATTGTTACTTGCCTACTAGTATCATTGGGGGTACATAGGGATGTTCCACTACGCGTGAACCAATATCCAACATTACCAACTAACCGATCCTCATACCTCGTCCAGTATGAGCGCAAAAAATACTATCCCTCAATATCCCGTTTGGTATGAAGGTGAATTGGGCCGTCCCATACCCCGTTCGGTATGAGTGCCAAAAATACCATCCCTCAATACCATATACAGTGTGAGGGTGAATCGGGCCGTCCTCATACCCCATCCGGTATGAGCGCCAAAAATACTATTGCTCGATACTTCGTCCAGTATGAGGCAGCATTTATAGTAGAATTCCCTATGTACCTGATCAGTTCACAATCTCACAGGATATCCAATAAGACAACCATTTATTAATTCACATAACTAAGCAATTTTTCATTTGCATATTAATTTTCAATTTCATAAATTAACCGTAAATTATACAAGACAATCAGTAAATATACATTAAGGAAGCACAACTGAATCATTTAACCATTTCAGTATATTCTTACGTATTTAAAGCTGTAAAAGCAAACAATCAGTTACACCGGATAAATAAATAAATAACTAACCGATTTCGGCTCAATTAGTAACCTGTAATTATTCTCAAAATTTTTTAAATTACATAAAATACCATATTATCGATTATTAAACTTCAATTTCATGACAGAGAATAAGGTGAGAGATTTTTACCCGAATTGGTATCCGAAATATCAAACTTTTTACTGCGTCTACTGGCAGTCCTCGGGTTTTTTGAATTTTTTGTGAAGATTAAAACACTCTTATGTCCCTAAAAATACCATAGGAATCCAAAATTGGTAAAAAAAATCATTTCCAGCCAATTTTGGGGTCCCGGCATGGTGACAACGCCGTGCTACGGCGATGACACCACCGCCTACGGAGGCGATTTGCCTCGGCTTGACCATTTTTGTCAGTTTTGGCCAGTTTCGATCGGTTTTATACTCATCCCTGCAAGAAAACACGTTAGAGGGCCTTGATTGGGTCCTAAAAAAAAATAGAAACCTATCAGTGGTGGGATTTTCTGGTGCAGCGGCTCTGCCAATTCACCTTTGTGGCTGGGCGTTTTTCTTTGATCAACCTGTAGAAAACAGAACGGTGAACAAGACGGTAGAAAAATCGCACGAAACAGAAAACGGGAAGGATCTCATCGGAAGAGGTTGCATGTTTTGCTTGCAGCGCGATGCCGAGCTTTTTCGCAGTTTTTGACTCACCTGTTGTTCCTTTTGCTCCGATTTGGCCATGGGGGCGCTCAGAATCAAATTCTAAGTTAATAGAAGAATTTTTACCTTTTTTCATGGTCGGAGGTGGCTCCGGTACGCCGGTGGTCGGCGGTTGGCAGTTGGCGGTCGACTCCCTTCTCTAGCAGGAAGCCGGTGGCTAGGGTTTGAGTTCAATGTGATGCTAAATATTTATACCCGTCTCGTATTAATCTGCACCGTTCATCACGTTTAATCTCGATCGTTCGATCGTGTTTAAAGAAAAAATAAATATGTACTATTCATCGTGATTTAATCTCGATCGTCTGATCGTGTTTAAAGAAAAAATAAATCTGAATCGTTCATCGCGTTTGATCACCACCGTTTGATCGTGCCTAAGGAGGGAACAGATCCGGACCGTCCACGCAGTTAGGAACGCTTCTAGGTCATCCGATCGCGGAGCACGCAGATCGTCAGTGTGGCCTCCCACGTGGCACCGAGTCAGCGTGCCTTGCCACGAGGCGCACTCCAGTTCGTCGAGGTTGTTGACTGGGCGGTCCTACGTGGAAAAATTTTCTTTAATTACATTATGACCCTAAGTTTCAATTTTTCTTTCAAAAATACCATCCGAACCCAAATTTTTATCTATTTTTTCCAAAATTATTTTCAATTTCATCCTCAACCTATTTTTTTTTTCCATAATTTCATATTAAATTAAAATTTATTAATTTTAAAAATGGATTCTTATATATTTTTAGAATGTTAAAATTAATTTTGGTTAAAATTCTGGGCCTGGGTATTACAACTCTCTCATTTTTAAAAGAAATTTGCTCTCTCAAATTTGTCTCCCTCACACTTAATCAAACACTTGGAATACTGGGCTCTGAAGTCTGATTCTAGCTCCCATGTGGCCTCTCTGTGTGTATGATTCTGCCATATGACCTTAGCGAAGGGAATTTTTCAGTTGCGGAGTACTCTGCTCTTTCGGTCTACAATGCCCACTGGTACCTCCTCATAGGACAGATCCTCCTGGAGTGAAAGGGGCTCGTGGGTCAAGATGTGAGAGGGGTCTGAGTTATACTTGCATAGCATGGATACATGAAATACATTATGAACTCTGAATAGTTCTGGAGGTAGTGCTAGTTTGTAAGTGGTGGTACCAATTCTGTCTTAGATCTAAAATGATCAAATAAACTAGGGATTTAGTTTCTCCCTTTGCCAAACCTACTAATTCACTTGAAATAAGCGACCTTAAGGAGCATTCGATCACTTTTATCAAATTTTAAATCCCTCCTCTAGGTTTCTGCATAATTATTCTGTCTGCTCTGAGTTGTAATACCTGGAACCAAAATTTAGCCCAGAATTGATTTTAAAAATTAAAATTCATATTTAAAAATATAGATTTTAAATTTATAAATTTCTATTTAATGTAAAATTAGGAAAAAATAGGTAGATGATGAAATTAAAAATAATTTTGGGAAAAAGAGGTGAAAATTTGGGTTCAAGGAGTGTTTTTGAAAGAAAAATCAGAAACTGAGGTCAAAATATAATTTAAAAAAAATGTGCCATGTAGGACCACTCAGTCAGCAGCCCGGATGAATCAGAGCACGCCGCGTGGTAAGGCATGCTGACTCGATGCCACGTAGGAAGTCACGTTGGCAATTCGCATGCCCGCGATCAGACGGTCCAGATTTGTTCCCGCGCGCGTGGACGATCCATATCCATTCCTTCCTCAGACGCAATCGGACGATCGCAATTAAATGAAATAAACGGTTTAGATTCGTTCTCTCTTTAAATGCGATCGCACGGTCCAAATCAAATCGTGATGAATGATTTAGATTTATTTTCTCTTTAAACGCGATTGGAAGGTCATGATCAAATACAATGAACGACCTAGATTTAAGATAGACGGGTATAAATATCTCACTTCACACCAAACTCTAACTCTAGCCGCCAGTCTCTTGTCGGAGAAGAATAACCAGTCTCCAGAGAAGGGAGCAGCCTGCTGCCGCGCCAGAGCCACATTCGACCGCTAAAAAAAGTAAAAATTCTCTCATTCACTTGAAATTTGATTTTGAACACCCCCATGATCAAATCAGAGCAAAAGAATCGGCGGATGAGCCGAAAACTGCGGGTAAAGCCTGGCGATGCCACCGCGGGCAAAATTAAAAATCGCCTCCTATAAGCTCCTTTTCGATTCCCATTTTATGTTATTTTTTCACCATTGTATTCACCATTCTGTTTTCTACAAGTTGACAAAAAAAAAACACCCAACCGCGAAGGTGAGCCACCGTACCAGAAAATCCCGCTGCTGGTAAGTTTTTATTTTTCAACTTTTTTGGGCAAACCGAGACCCCCTAACTTGTTTTCTCGCAGGATGGGTATAAAACTCACCAAAACCGGCAAAAACTTTCCAAAAAAGGCCAGTCTAAGGCAAACTGCCGCCGCGAGTAGTGGTGCTGTTGCCGCAGACGATGGTGCTGTAGCCGAAGCACGACGGTGCTGCCGTGCTAGAATTCTAAAATTTGTCGAAAAAGAGTTTTAACACCAATTTTAGATTTTTTGGGGTATTTTTAGGTACGTGAAGCGTGTTTCAATCTCCGCAAAAAAAATTTAGGAAACTTGGGGACTGTTAGTAGACACAGCTGAAAGTTTAGTGTTTTAGACACTGATTCGGGTAAGAATCCCTCACCTTATTCCCTGTTATGGAATTGAAGTCTAATTATAAATAATACAGTATTTTACATAATTTAAAAAATTTCGATAATTAATTATAAATTTCTAATAGAGTCGGAACCGATTATTTATTACTGTTTGTCATGTTTTAACTGATTGTTTAAACTTACAGTTTTCGATGAATAATAATGCACTGGAATTAGTAAGATGATTCAATTGTATTTTCTTGATGCATATATTGCTTATCTTGCATGATTTACAGTTAAATTGTAAAACTGAAAATTTAATGTAAACGAAAATTATTTGATTAAGTGAATGAATGAATAGTAGCCTTACTGGATATCCTGAGAGATGGTGGACAGATCAGGTACATAGAGAACCCTATCGTGAACGCCGCCTCATACAAGATGAAGTATCAAGGATTGATATTTTGGCGCTCATACCGGACGGGGTATTGATGGATGATATTTTTAGCACTCATACCGGACAATATATAGGGATGGTTAGTTAGTTGACAATATTAAATAACGGTTCACGCGTAATGGGAACATCCCTGTGAACCTCCATAGATACCAGTATACAGATAAAAAGGAAAAAATATTATTATTACTTACTTAAATATAAGATTATGATATTGTTGAGCTATTAGCTCTATAGATTGAAAATCTCATGTGGTAAGTATACAATAAATGATTTTATTTATGATAAATGAATTTACTTAAATTAAGAGCTCCATTAGTTATTTTTATGATTTTTACCAACCTTCATTTCTGTATCGGTGAGTAGCATGATATTCTTACTAGGCTAGTATAACTCACCCTTTCATTAACCGTTTCAGATCAATAAGATCATGATTCAGATTCCGATCAACAAGGAAGTTGTAAATAGTTCACCTCCCAGACTCCATTCAAAGGCTAGTGAAGATCGTCCTAGGATACCTAATTGCTTATTTTTCATTTATTTCTTGATTTTTTCACTTGTTCTTTTAGAAGGATCATTCCCGTAGCCTTCTTGGGTATTCTAAATTATTATGTAAGGAATGTAAATCCTATTATTTCACTTCCGCATTCAATTTATAATTTTATTTCCTTTCAAGTCGTGGGTCGTTACATGAGTCGTCTGGATGTTCTTCTTGATCTTAACTATTTTAGTTATAGTCTTCTCTACAAGATTTGAGCCGAACAATTTCTTATCATCCATCTCTTCGCAACAGATCGACGATCTGCATGAGCGACCATATAACGCCTCGTACAGAGTCATGCCGATACTTGCTTGGTAGCTGTTATTGTACACGAACTCTATTAAGGGTAAATGATCATCCCAATGGCCCCCGAAGTCAAGAAAACAAGCTCAGAGCATATCCTCCAGTGTGCAGATCATCCTTTCTGATTGTTCATCAGTTTGAGGGTGGAATGCGGTACTAAGAGACAGTTTCGTTCTCATGACTTGCTGAAAACTAGACCAGAACCAAAAGTGAACCTAGGGTCCTTATGGGATATATTGTCACTGGCACTGCATGTAACTTGACTATCTCCCGGATATACATTCTTGCTACCTTATCCAAGAGGTCATTTATCTTGATGGCCAAAAAGTGAGAAGACTTGGTGAGCGGTCAACAATTACCCAAATGACATCATGTCCTGAGCGTGCCCTTGTAAATCCTTTCATGAAACCCATTGTGATGTGTCCCCACTTTTACTCCAGAATCAGTAATGGTTGAAGTAACCCGCTTGGGCTTTAATGCTCTGCTTTGACCTGCTAACACACTAGACACTTGGAAACAAAGTCGATCACCTCTCTTTTTATCCTGTTCTACTAAAATCGGGATCGCATACTTTGATACATTTTAGTACTTCCGGGATATATGTCAAACTTTGAGTTATAAGATTCTGTCATGATGTTCACTTTTAGCTCATTATCACATAGAACACACACACTATCCTGAAATCTAAGTAACCTATCGGTAGAGACTCGAAATTCTGAATTTATTTTCTGTTCTTTATCTTTTCTAAGAGTTGCTAGAGTGGAATTGGTGGATTGAGCTTCCTTTATTCTCTGAATCAACTCAGGTTGAACAGTCAGGTGGGCTAAACATGTAACTCTCTTCAGGTCTTAAAGTCGTACCTATTGTGCGGCCCTTATTACCTTGTATTTTGAAATCATTAGGTGAGCTAACATACTTGCACTTTTTCTATTGAGTGCATCAGCTACTACATTGCCCTTATCATGGTAATATAAAATGTTGCAATCATAGTCCTTGAGGAATTCTATCAATCGTCTCTGATGTATGTTGAGATCCTTTTGAATGAATATGTGTTTCAAGCTCATATGATCGGTATAGATATGAAAAGTCTTGTCATACAAGTAAT